GTGATAATGTTGGCAAAAAGGATACAGTTAGCTAGCTAGCTATAACTTAGCCAGATTTGTACAGTGTAGCTATATTCCAATGTAAGATGGGTTGCAGTTGCTTTGATGCTAGTATTACAGTAGCTAACATTAGCCAACATTAGGCAGAAAAACGATAGCTCAGCATTAGCATTGATATCCAAAGTCAAACTACCCTCCATGACTCAGGTTCCCCGCAGTTTAATTTTCTTTTCAGGCAGACGGGCTTCATTAGTCAGTGTTTGAGTTTCTTGCTTGCTGACTTGGACAAATTGCTCAATGCCATTAGCTTCCTTACCCAAGCTGTGCTGTCCAGTAAAGTTTTCACTAGTAAAATGTGGTATGCATGTGTTTAATAAGGTCTGGTACCAGGCCAAGAAAAATTAAATAATGATTCACACTTAAACCAGGGATTTTTAAAAAAAAACATAACAAAAGGGTGTGTTTTTATGGGTTGGTGCGCATTGGTAAGAGGAATTTCTGAATATCTCATATTCAGTTTCCATGCTGGTACCTTTGTTCTGCAGTGATCAGAGCAAGGGTCAAGGACGTGAGGAATCGCGGTCTGGAGCCCACCGCTGTGGTGGACGTGAAGGAGGTGATCAAGTCTTCTCTGGTCAACATTCCCAAGATGACGCTGACACTCTACTACTCATCCTCCTGCCTGTGTCCTAAGCTGACTCCTGGAGAAGATTACATCATTATGGGCTACGAGGATGGTGAAACCTCAAAGTATGGGCAGTGGAAGATATAACTGATAATATAGTTATTGACAAGAAGAAGTTGGTAAGATAGAAGTCCAGAACTTGTTGAGACTGGGCCCGTGCTTTATCTAGAGAAAAATCTCACTCGAAGAACCAGTATGCTGTCAGACTTTCTGAGACGGCTTCCGATTGCCCCTTTGCTCTGCAGGGTGCTATTGTGATAAATTACTGATCAGAGCCAAATGTTACTTTTTTCCTTTTTTCAAAAGAAAGTCATATTTTAGTTTCTTCTTTTGCTAGCTGTTAAACTATGCCAAACATTGTTAAAATTTTGTCTTTGCAGGTTGCTCCTGATTGACAGGTCCATTGCTCAGAAGTGGAAGGATAGAATTGGCAGGAAGGTCAAGGTGCGTAGTTAAATATACCTGATTTTGGTTCTGGGTTAAAATAGAAAGTCTCTAGTGCTGACTGGTTTCAGACCCTTTTCTCTCAACTCTTTTTTTTTTTTTTTCTTTTTCCCATCTTCTGCCAACTATGAGCAAATTACTACTCAGGCAAAACTGAGTCAGCAATTTAAAATAAATTATCAGTTTTCTTTGGAACAGGCTTGCAGCTCTTGTTTTCTCACACTCTGAAGATTTGGCATTGTGACTGTGGTGAAACACGCGCCCATCATTGTCATTGCACATGGCAGCGTGCACCGAAACTGCTCAGCGCACTGTAGTGTTGTTAATGTTTGAAATGTACCAGAGCAGGAGCATCGGGATTCCCCAGAGACTTAGAGGGAGATTTCAACAGCTCTGCTGAAACCTTTTAAAAAGAAAGATTCATGTTTTGCTTTGTTTTCTGTTTTTACTGCCTTTTTTGTTTTCTTTGAACGTGTATCATTTAGGGGAAGATTGCAGCAAGTCAGTCGCCATAGGCTTGAGCATTAATGATTACAATGCTGTCACACTTTGTGATCAGTGACTAATACATTGATTGTAGTACCCTCTCTAGAAAAGTAACATTGAAAGCGATAGTGATCAATCCAATGGTGAATAGCAGCAACCAAGGATCTTTATTAGGGATTGTATTTTTAGTTGCTTATTGTCTCCAAAGATGGGGCTGATCATCATTTCACTTTTCTGTCTTTCCTTCTGTCCAGAGATGGAACCAGATGCTGCACAGGAAAACCAGTCGCCACTGAGATCTTCTGACCTTGTGTGCGTGTGACCGTGTGTGTGTAGATATTGCACTATTACAGGCTGTTGTAGCTGAATGTAGTTCATCTCTTCATCTGCCACTGTTTGAAGTCAGTTTTGTCATTTACTTCCTTTGCACAAACATCAATTTGTGTGTGTGTGTGTGTGTGTGTGTGTGTGTGTGTGTGTGTGTGTGTGTGTGTGTGTGTGTGTGTGGCACTCAGTTAAGATGCCAGAGGGAGGAGCTTAAAATTGCGTGCAGCCATGTATTTTTATTTTTTTCCCCCTGCGGTGGCTGTGTTGGCTACACAGCTCCTCTTCATGGTTACAGTTTTTATTAATCCTGGATGTTGGCCATGTTACCATGGTGATGGGATGGACGACATTTGAATGACACGAAAGCCATTTGGACTTGGACATTTTGAATACATCTGTAGCCATGACCTGCCTTCCACTGAGCTCCTAAGAAAATGAAATGTGGATATCTATGCTTTGTTCAGACAGCAGTGTGAGTCGAAAGCAGCAGAAACTTGTTTTCCTGAATATCATTAGATCCAGTTATCAATGGATTACTGAATGGGCCTCATGAGCACAGCCTTCTGTTTTGGCAAATTCCAACTTTAAAATCTGCAAAGAGCTTCAAAACAGTCACATAGATGTGTAAAAAGACAGTAAATGACTGCAAAGACATGGATAACAAGTTGAAGACTAACAACCATATAAAGAGATACAAACTCTGTGTGGCACTGTTTTAAATAAAAGAAGAGCCCTTTTTAAAATTGCCTGTAAAATTCACATTTTGCAAATTTGTTAGACATGAATAACAAATTTTTAAACATTTTGTAAAGCTTTTTATAACCTTTTTTTTAAAGCAGTTGTACGTAAAGAATAAAACCAAAAATCTTACTGCTTTGATATGGCATTCAGTATTATGATTTCTTGTCGGCTGATGGTTTACGTGGGCATTATGGGGGTGGGGGGCAGATGTAGGACATCAGTTCCATTATGCTTTTGTTTAACAAATGTTTATTCTCCCCTCAAATCTGACCATCAAACATATTCTAACATGCATTTACTGTTTTGGTACCTGTTAAAAATTAGTACTATATTTGTGCGACCCACACTGTGACCAATAAAGACTTTTTTTTTTTCTAAGTAAATTTTAAATAGAAGAGGAATGTGACCGTAACTTAAAGAGGGAGTTCACCCCAAAATAAAATGTAATCCACCATATCACCGTGCATAAGGATGCCTGCGTCTGCTCGTGACAGGATGTAAACACTGATGGCGTCACCCTCGTCTGAACTGTAGTGTTGGTAGTGTCAATGTTTCTATGGCTGATATATCCAAAACTGGACGTTCTGCACCAAAAATATTGATACATTTACATGCACATCTCAGTACATGTGAAAGCCAACTGTGGGCCATAAAACTGCAGGTCTTTATGCAGGTTATATTTGCAAGTGGTCTTTCATCATTTGACTAAAACAATTATCAATATGTGATAAATTCATAAAATGACAGTCGCGAGTCAGAAAACACACACGATGGCAGACAAAAAGTCCTTAAATGTGTGCTTGTTACATTTCTCTTAAATTCGGTAATATTAATCTGTATTACATGGATCCTGTATTGGTATATATCTCTTGTGGAGCACAAAAGCCCACCAGCATTATGTCCAATGCCAATCAGAAGAAGGTGATCTTGAATGGCATGCGAAGGGAGCTAAAATAGACTGCACCAAGGCCAAGAAAAATAAGGATTATCTTGAGCTGAGAATCATCCAAAGCTAACTGAGCAGAATCCAAAAATATAATTTTATAATTTTCATTTTCATAATCATGTTGGAAATGTTAGAAAACTGAATGGTTAACCAGTTTTAACAGTTCTCGTTTAAAATTGTAGGTAGATATTAAAGTGACTTTGTAACACGTTATTTTTGTTGCGACTAAACTCTAGGCTTTTATTGGAGTTATCTGTGGACACAGCCATTGACTTTGTGCAAGAGGCAAAGTAAAAACGTATTCCCATTATGATATTCACGTACTATATACTGACATGTAGCACACATGAAGTGCATTACCTTGACAGAATGTGCTGTTGGGTTGGCCACAAAATCTGGGGAATGGATATAATGATGATGAAGCATATAAAATAATGGCTTTCGCACAGATTGACAATAAAAAATACTCTACTGTTGGTCGTGTGACCAAGGTAAGTTGGCGTCATTTGCCTTAAGTATTCCCTTTTGTGTGTGTGTTTTGTGGTTTTCTTCTCAGAGGAATGGCAGACTTTTCCTTGGATGTCAATCTCTTACATCTGAAAAATGTATGAGCATCACCTCTACTTTTAAAGTCATTTGAAAAACCTTTTTGTTGTTGTTGTTGTCACAGCAGCCATCCAAACTGTTACCATTTCCACCTGTGCTGTCCCTACTCTGACAGATGTGATCAGTGAGCAAAGTCTCTTTCTTTTTTCTTTTTTTTAATTGAACTGCAATTTGCTGCTGCTGCTGTCTGAACACAGCCTCAGATAAACAGTATTCTCATTATCGCACAGTAACTCTGTTCATGTAAACACACTAACACTCAGTGCCACACTACTCTGTACTAACACCCTGATATGTTGAATTCTGGACTTCTCGTAGCAGTGTGAACCATTAAACATGATTTAGACAAGATAAGCTGGAGTGTGTCTGTTTTTGGTTGTTTTTGTTTTGTTTTAAAAATCTGCCTTAAAATTGAGGCTGATTCATACCAGAAAGGCTCATATAGGGCTTCACCACCTTGAACTACACCAGATTAAAAGCAATAAAGCTGAACTCTCAGGATTTCAGTGTTTCTCATTGATGGGAGTAAAGTTTAACAAAGCAGACCAGTAGCCGCATGAACTAGCCACTGTGTGTGTGTGTGTGTGTGTGTGTGTGTGTGTGTGTGTGTGTTTGTACTGCTTCCAGTAGTTCCTGAGTACTAATTTCCAGCAGTGTTTTCTCAGCTGCAGTTTCCATGAGAGGGAAGAGAAAATGTTTTCATGGATTTACTGCCATTACACCTCCTTATCCTCCTCCGCTTTAGTCCTCCACGCTCTTGTCCTCTCTGGTCTGTGCTCCGTGTTGACTTCAGCTGACTGCCTGACTGAAAACACACCTGGTGCTGGGATAAGGTGTAGTCTGTTTCTGGAGGCTGAGTGGTTCTATTCATGTTCCTGAGTGCTGACACAGCAGAGAGTTTGACACCGGCCGACCTCGTTGACAGAAGTTAAAGCTGCTTTAAATCCTTTCCCCCCCCCAACATCTGTTCATCAAGTTCTTAAACACTCATTGAAATAAAACTAAAAAGCACAAGTAGAAATTTTTCTTTGGCTTTTCTCATGTGTCGTCACATCTGGTGCTGTCAAATATTTTGTTGTATTTCAGCCCTTTTTGTAAGAGCACTTGACAACGTTTCAGTGCTAGCTTGGTCAATTTTCTCATCAATGTTTTAACCCTTTTTCATCTTTTTTCTATGCAACATGAATCTGATGTAGTCTGGTATATTGCCATACCTAGGGTGTTTTTGCCCTAGCTTTTCCTATAGCTTCACTGATACTTGCCTTTTTTTTTAAATTCAATATTATCAACATACAATATAATATAGTATTTATAATATTTATATAGTGCCAAATCACAAAAGTGGTTGCCTCAAGGTGATTGGTAATGTAAGGTAAAGACCCTACAGTAATACAAAGAAAACCCCAATAATTATATTATGAGCAAGAATTTGGTGACAGTGGGAAGGAAAAACTACCCTCTAACAGGAAGAAACCTCCAGCAGAATCAAGCTCAGGGAGGAGTGGCCATCTACTGGGACTGTTTGGGGTCTGGTTGTAAGGTAAAGACCCAACAATAATGGGTTGGGGTTTTATCAGATTCTCTGATGCACGGTGTCAAATATGAAGCCCGGTGGCCAGAATCAACCCAGCAAAGACTCCAATCTGGCCCGCTAGACAGCTTCGGAAAATATGATGGAGGACATACATTTTTGGACGTTATATTATCAGACATTTTACAGCTTTTTTTCTGCTAATAAAGACCTCCCCCACCACCACCACCACCACCACAGCCATTCATATTACACCAAAACTGTAAAAGACAGAAAATAATAGACAAACCATTAAATGTCAGAAAAGTTCCTGTTTTTTACTTTCTAATTTAGATATTTCAGTTCAATCAACAAAAATTTTGTTTTGAAACTACAGGACAGTCTGGACAGTGAGCTACCAGAACTTTGTAATTTTACAAATTATCATGTAAAAAGACTGAGATGTGCTGTAGAAATTGCTTTTCTCTGTTTTATATTAGGATATCTCAGGGATTCAATATGTTAATTAAAGATTTTTCTGATGACAGAAAGAACTGAAAAGCGCTGCTCTCCAACTCAAATATGGCCAGCCAAATCTCCAAGCGTCCAACACGGAAAGTAATCTGACATCATCATCAAAACACACACGCACAGGACTACCAGGTCGGTTCCCACAATAACTCAGCGAGTGTTTGTCCAACTTGTTGCTCCATTTCACATAATGAAACAATAGAATGCACATGCAGTAAGTGATTCCAGTGGTTTATGGAGCAGTGCTGCGTCAATGCTGACCTCCAACTGTCCACAAAACGGAGAGAGAGAAAGAGGTAAAGGGGGGACTACATAGAAATGTTCTCCTCTAATAATGTTCAAGTGGAAAGTATCTAAGGTCATTTAGGTAATTACAGTAATAGAGAACATTTTAACTATTGGTCTTTTCCAGACTGTGAGAATTTCTATGTCTGATGGTTACACTTGTATGTAATTATATACAGATTTATATAGAGAGGGACGTGATGATGTCCAACAGTATAATGTGTAAGGTTTGTGTAACAGGTGAATTACTAAAGGTAGACCTGAAACACAAACGCCTAGCATTACATTTTTTATAGGTGTCACTGATCACATGGACACATAAAGTAATTTAATTTTCATGTCCCCCATAAAATGAACCACACTAACCCCAGTGATCCTCTCACGTTTCATCTACCGCATACACACCATTGTTGCTTCTGTAGAAATTAAGAGGGTAAGTAGCAACCAGGTCCTGCTAATCAAACCAACTCTATTAAATCAGAAGTTTTGGCAGTTTGTAGGTGTGCAGCATTCTCAGGTGTCTTAACACATTTTCAGCATTCAGCGAAAACAAACACCTCATAGGAGCTGTCAGTGGCGATGGTGAAGGGGTGATGATTTGGGCTTGTTTTGCAGCTGCAGGGCTTGGGCACCATGCAGTCACTGAGTTGACCATGAACCAAACCAAAACCAAAGTGTTCTAGAGTCAAATGTGAGGCCATCTGTCTGACAGCTAAACTTGGCCCATATGGGGTAATGCAACAGGTCAGTTATCCCAAGCACATCGGCAAATCTACAACACAATCGCTGAAAAATCAATGAATGAAGGTGTTGCAGTGGCCCAGTCAAAGTCCAGAGCTCAAATACTGTAGTGGGACCTTGTAAAGAAGAGTGGGCCAAAATTCCTCCTCAACAATGAGAGAATGATAAAGTCCTACAGAAGCAATTACTTCAACTTACTTATAATTACTGCTAAAGGTGGTTCTACAAACAATTAAATCATGGCATGCACTATCACAGGGCCGCACAGAGCCCGGGGAAAACATTTTTTTCACAGGACTATGTTTGACCTTTTTTCCATTTTTGACACCAACTGGATGGATTACTGCAAAATTCGCATTCCCACTCGGATGAGATTAATTGTTGGTTATGTCCAAGATGTGATTTGTTGCCAAACAAATAGGTTATCAGCAAAATCAAGAATAATCTTCACGAATCACATGGATTTAGATGGGTGTAGCTACTGTGACGTCACTGGTTTGTGAAGAAAGTTTTCACTGTCATCACATCACAGTGTTGGCGTTTTCAAACTGGAACCAGCAAGCACGTTTGTTAGCTAACAACTTAAAAATCACGAGTTATTAGCCAAGACGTATATCCAGTTAATCCTGCTTTCTGACTCTTAGAATGACCAAATTGTATAAAATGGAAATAATGTTATATTAGGTATGAACCAAAATGAGTGAGCCCATCAGGAAAGTGCTTACTGCAGTCAGAGCTGAGAGCCCTTTCCCCAAAGACTTCTACAGGGTTTTTCATGCAACAGGTATCACCCCCTGGTGGCCATAACAGGCATTACCTGAATTGGCTTTGCTTCTCAGAGCCAGAGGTTACATTCATCTTTTACACTATGGTGCAAATTAGCCAGATATAAGCATCACTGCTGCTTAGTAGATTTTTACTTTTGAGGTAGACTCTCACCTACTGCTACAGAGTTTCTCATGATCATCAAGAAATCTTTAATGTGAACCTGACCAGAGTTTCCCAGTGTGATCATCAGAGACAGATTAGATGAAAATTATATGCACAGAAACATTATTATCACCACCTTTTTCTGTCTTACCGAAGGCATGGATGAACTTTAGGCTTCAGTTCACAAGGCTAGCAGACCAGCTGCTATCTACAGCTTAATTTATTGAGTATAGTATAGTAGATGAGTTTTCTTCAGACCACATAATACAGAACTGTGACACAATGTAATGTTCTCATGGTAATGTAATGTGACTCAGGTCCGTTGTGGATAAGCCCGTGTTCTAAAAGTTGAATCAGTGCACAGGTTGTTTCCTGATCAACTCTTTGCTGGGGAAGTCACTGCACAGAGAAGCAACAGTGACACCTGCTGCCCTTCTTAAGATACACAACCATTACAAACCATTAAAAAGCTCCGAATTATTTCAATAGTTTGTTGTTTTTGTTTTTTTTATTTGTGTAAATTTTCCAAGAGCATAAGATAAATGCATCAATTTTATTTGTTTGTTTTTTACTGTAGGAATACATATTACATATAACAAGTAATTAATGATCTAATTAACTTTAACGCATTAACAGTATAAACCGTTGTTTTTTTTACTGAGGATTTCAGCGGGCACCCAATCTGTGATATATTCTGAGCTCTTTTCAGAAACTTTATAAACCCTGTCTGCACGTATTTATCTTGTCAATCCAACTTTTCTTAAGTTCCTGTCTCCTGCACAATTTTCAGCCAGATGACACAGTGAGTGAACAGTGACACCTGCTGGTCAAAGTGTGAATAACTAAGAAAACATCTGCAGCTGTGTGTTTACGTTCTGGAGTCCATACAGAGCATTGAGGTGGACGATTATGTTTTCAGCGGGGCTATTGCCACCTCATGTCCCTCTGGATGCACCCCTATCCAATCCCCAAAAACTCAGTTTGACACACAGAAAAGCAACAGTGTTGAGAAACCATGAGATTGAAATGCTTGGCACCTTTACTTGAGAAAAAAAAACAAAGTAATTGAAAGAGTTAATACTTTGTGATTATTTCTTTTTTCTGAATCTTGTCAACATCTTTGTAAACTTTGAATTTAACCTGCAGCGATGGTTGTAAAACTCACAGGGATGCACACACATCTAACAGAAACAAACCGTTTTATTCTCAAACAGTTTTTACATGAGCAATAAAATACAACACTATGTCAACATTTGGATCAGCGAGTGTGTGTGTATGTGTCAGTAACATGATCAATACACAGTGTCCCAAAGTTTTACTTCATAGAGTAAATAGAAACAATGGAGACAATTAT